ATAAGCTACAGATCGATGAATATTGGGAGGCACGGTGTACGCAATAAATTCTAATTGCTGCTTCAGTCAACGAAAAAAATTGAGCTAAAGTATAAAGGGTCGAGAAGAATTTTACATTTTCGTTGTGTAATAAAAGAATTACGGCGCGCATGAATGAACAGTTCATTTCCGCGAGAATTATTTTCCATATTATTTTATACCCTTTTTTTTACAGTTTAAATGTTTTGATTTTGTGGAGACCGGCTCAGAGTTATTGAAAAGGTTCTATTTGGACAGAGTTAATTGTATAACATGGGCCGACATGGTCACTCTATTACATTTACCTCATATTCCATAATTGTCTCTAATTAAATCGTCATCGATGGGCACCGTTCGATCGGCTAATTTAAAAGCGCACTTGTGAATATGCACGCGCCAATATACATACTTAATATTATCTGTACGAGAAAAGAGCCGATTGCAGAACAGGGGCGATACAGTTGCGCGCGTTCATCATTAATTAGATATTCAATAACGTTCGTAAATTAAATTATTACTAATGGGCTCGATCTAATTGCTTGTTTCAAAAGTGCTTTTGAGTATGATAAATCAGTTAACTGTACACCTGCGGATTCTCAGAATTTCCATTGTAAATTCTCAGCGACGAAAAATAACATCTCTTTTAGACGAAAAAAAAAAAAAAAGAGTATCAGCTTCCAATAATCTTCTTTGGAACTGTCCGTCTGAACTGCATAGATTTCTTCTCGATATTAATGACGCGCAACACTTCGTGAAACTTGCTCGCGAGTTGAGGTAAAAGTTGTCAGCGTTTCGAATCTCTAATATGCCGGGGAGATGTAAGAAACGCGTCGTGACGACTACCGACCGGCCGAGTTAACTCAAGTTTCTTATAACGATCATGCCTTTGCCGGCAGCGGTGAAGCAAAGTTCACAAAAATTATTCACCTTTTATAATTCCAACGCAAACCTCGTTGAAAGAAGGAAAAACGGCGTGTTTAAACGGTTAATCGCCGTGATTAGAATAGTAATTAAATTAATGAAAGTCCGTTGTTAATGTACTGGCCGCGAAAACCACCCACAGTTAATTAAGCAATGGAATTCGTTCAATTTACGAGGCTTCAAACGGATCAGCATTTCAATCTCGGCGAGAGATGAAAAAGAAGTAACATTATGCAACATTAACGGGCGAGCGACGATAAAAGTATTATTTTTGTAATTGATTCCAACACATGCAACTTCAATGGCGCGTATTAAGCACGCTCCGTCATAAAAGCGCTGTAACGAGAGACGCTTCTCTGCCCAACTGATCATGTACGTCGTAAAATCAGCAATGAAAATATTTATCACCGCCAACATCGTCGAGAGACACAATTATCTCGCGTCTTAACTTTTCGAACACACCATAAGCTCGGCGAAATTACCGTTCCGAATTTAAATGTGACGCATTAAATGCGATGTCCATATCGCGGATCCATAAAAGAACGATAGCATTACGGGTAAAATGTGATTAATTGCCTTGTAAATATCCTCGTACAATGTGATGGGAAATAAAATTGAAATAAAATTGAATATCATACTTTAGAGAACTCGCAATTTTAATTACAATTATCATATTAAGTTTTAAATATATTAGAGCAATTCAGGTCGTCTCTATTGATTTAATGAAGCTCTAATTAGGAAATTTCGACACGACGCGTAGAAATTCGTAGTCTAAATTGGTGACTGACCACAGACTAGTATAATTCATATTGACTTATTAATCTCAAGCATTGTGGAGAACACGACACGTTACAAACTACAATGTGACACGCGATAAGCTTCACTCTAACTTCTCCATTAACATTTAGCATGACACACGTATCATTTACTTACATTACTTTACTGTCTATTAAATAAAGTGAACATTTTAATGTTATGAGCTGCATTTGTGCAAAAAAAATGTTATAAATTATTACATTGTTAGTCATCAAATTTCGTATTATTTTATACATAATTTAGATATCATATTTGTACACGAGATAAATTTCTTTTTTAGACAGAAATCTTAATGTAAAGTTTATATCTAATTTTTAAATATTAAAAACGTCGTGAAAAAAAGTAGCATTAATCTTCATATGGAATATTTTAAATTGCATGTGAAAGATTTTTACGTGTCAATAATCGCAGCAATATATTGTACAACCGAATGGGTATTCATGTTAAAAATGTATTCTACAGTGACGAATCGAATCCATTAAAATCCAATAGAAAACTGAATATACATTATGAACCATTGAAAGAAAACCACAATGCTTGTTCGAAAAACCTATGGAACGTCGCTAGACAACATTTTCCTATCAATCAAACAAATTAAAATGCGCAATAAAGATGAGGATCTATATTTTAGAGATATACCGTATACAAACGGGTCATACCTGTGGATCGTCACATCAATCGATTTCGCGATAGTTTCCAGTGTCATGACCGCGTCTACGGGAAAACAGCAGAGTCCTCGATCGCCAGGACGAGTCCTTCTCGACATCACTCGCGAGCTTCGCATCGCACAACCGATCGCAATCGGCACACTGACGAATCGCGCGGCGCGACTATCGAACGATCGACATGAGCGTGTCAAGGACGTCCGGAGACGTCCGCCGCCGCCTTGAAGGTCACGGAAGGACCTTTCGAGGCGCGTGACGACGGGACGAGCTAGGTCCTGTTTCCCTGACGACGCGTGCCGCGCGCTGGCCGATTTCCAAATCCTCTCGCCCGACGTCGGAACCGATATATCGAGTACGTCGATCGCCGGGCTCTGCCACAAGTGGTTGCGTCCTGCCGCTGGAAAAACACCTGATCGTGCGCTCGGCGCGTGTGAACGAGTTCGCAGGATGTACAGGCGAGAAAGTCGACGAGAAAAGTGTCTGTTTTTCGTTCACTCGGAAATCTTAATAGCCCGACAAGTCCCGATCTGTCAATTGGAGGAGGAAAAAAAAAGGCCACCACCCACAATCAACGTGCTTTCATCGCTCTAATGGACAAACTCGACGATGTCATCCTTCCGCAGGAAGAGCCGCGCACCCTCCTGACGGCGTGGCTCGCCACCGACGAGCCCGCTGTACATTTGATCGTCCCAGGATCGATCCTTTGATGCGAGTAAACAGACAAAGAAGTGAGCGAGGCGGGCAGGCGAGTGTGAGGGTTTGTCGCGCGCACCTTCAATTAAAACACGAGGGATCAGGTGTGCCGTTCGATCGCGCTAGGTTCTTACTTTACGAACGATCCTCTCTCGATGAAATTCGATTGTCGATCCTCAGGACGACGAGATAAACACTGGTCCCTGGCTTCGACGAAATTTCCCGATGTCACTTCGACACAGGACGCTATCCTTGTGCAGCTATCCTGGCTGTATCGTCCTACGGTGACGGGAACACCTCGCGCATGAAGCGGAGCCGCGACGAGTGTACACGCACGCTCGTCCTTATGCGAGGAGCACCCCACAAGGATTGGTTTTCTGTTTTACAGTATATCGACTGCCGTGCACCCAGTGTTATCTCGCAGGAACTAAGCCGGCCACGATCACGCCTGCGTCCTCGAACGTCGCGACGCCGACTTTTCCGCGACGCCCGCGTCCAATCGCGCATGACGCGATAACGCAAAGGCGCGAATTTAGCACAGCATTTGATGAGAATGTTTGATAGCGGATTGCGGATTTGCTGGTTATTTACAGTAATAAGAACATTCACCGCGATTGCGCGAGTCTCTAAGGATTCACGGTATTGGATTCGATCGGCACGATGGAGAAAAGTCATCTATCATTGCTTTACTTATATCTGAAGATAAGATTAATGAAAGTCAGATTGGAAAACAAACTATTAAGAAGAAAAATGTGAAGATGTGGCACAAAAATTACAAATAATATATGAAATATGACATATAATAGTAAGAAAGATATATTTTTTTAAATATAATTTAAATCATATAAAAAACAAAAGCTTTATCTAATTAAAGTAATTAATTAAGTTTAAAAAAAGCAGTTTGTTCCAACAGAATATTTGATTTGATGGAAATATAACACTGTCAGAGATATTGTTGATTCATACTACTCATTGTGAGTATGACATTTAAAGTTCGATCATAAAAAAATACCATAAAAAAATACCATAAAAAAGAGATACATTTATTCATATCTCTCAAATTGTTTAAAGTGGAGAATTTTTATTATCTTTTTATCATATTTTTATTTTGATGAGTACAGATATAAACAAAATTAGCATTTATAAATAATATTCTTGATGAAAAGCCTGATGGAATGCAAAAAGTGTGGAAAACTCGATATATATAACGTAAATTTTTTCAAAAACATAAAAAATATTAGCAAATAATAAAAACATTGCTCACGTGTAATTCAAGTTTTAATTCAAATTTGTGTGAAATAGCTTTATATGGTGGATCAATAACGCTGCGCCAAGGCAGCTTTGTTGATTCATTCGTTGTTGGCATTCATTACGACGCAAAATTTAACACGCGTAACATATCATATAAAATTTAAAAAAAATAGCAATGCGGAATTTTTTAAATGAATAATGTGAATCGGATAGAAGAATTCAAAATTGATAAACGAAACAAAAATATTTGTGATATTTGATAAAGTAAACTGAAGACGTGCGAAATTATTTGCGTTTTATTCAACATCAAATTATTTAATAAAGGCGATTACTATTTCAAGAATAAGAAGAGATAAATATTGTTGCGTGACGCAAGGATAATATCTTAATTGTTTTGAGAGAACTCAAAGTTACAAGATGACTGTTGCACTTGGGATACATTATCGTGGGGAGGAATTTCTGTTCCGAAGTTTCTCATTCAGACATGAGATGAACATGAATAGAATTTTAATTGGCACACGCTGGAATCTGTTGTAACATCGCAATTTAAGATAGAGACGTGTTTACGCGATTGCTCCGTGCGGATAATCGTTATCGCGCGATCAATGAAATTACAATTCTCTTTTAATCACTCACCAGTCTGGGTGCTGCTGTCGAAGAAGGTGCTGGACGTCTCGACTGTCATCGTCGCGAAAGTACCATCCGTAATTTGAGCCGAGCTGTCTCTTCGTCCGCGATATCGCTGAACCTGCGAAACGAGACGTACAGAAGTCCTTAATCGGAAAAAATCGATTTTATTAATTGAACATTAAACGCGCATTAAAAAAGATTGAACCATATTTTAATAAAGTTCTATAAAAATTTCTCTTGTGTTGTTAACGTTATTTTTTTTATGTAAACTTTTAAATCGAATACATTTGTAAAAATATTATTCATTTTTATATTTTTGTTTATTCTGCGTTTTTTTAAAATAATTTTGTTTCATAAAATTCTTTTTTGCATACTAAAAACTTTTAGATGTATTTATTTATTCGCACATATGTTTATCAAAATCGAAATATCCGATTTCATAAGCTCCTTTATCAATAAAAATTCAAATATTTCTCTTTTTTAATGTGTTCGTTTCAAGCTGAAATTTATTGCCGTGAATTAACGAAAAAAACGAACCGTGTCGTCACTTTGAGAGCTCTGTCGTCTAAAATTACGGCAGCGTATCATTTCCTCGGTGGTGCTCTGCCGTCGAAAACCGCGCGCTATCAAGATCTCCTCGGTGGTGGATTGTCGTCGTATTGTCGGCGCATGTTGGATACCGGGTGCGCGAGCGCAAGGGCTGGGATCTCGGGACGAACACGAAGAGCTGTCTGGCGATCTGCAAAGCAAAGTTCAATATAAAATTCACATACGAGGCATTGAATATTACTATAAATTTTTACGAAATTATTGTGTATCTTTTGATTAATTACGAAAAAAATTACTACTATTCTAATATACAAAAACTTGAATACACACATAGTTGAAAAGAAAATATTTTAGGATTAATATTAGAATTTAAAGTGTCAATAACAACTTCTCAGAGAGAGAGAGAGAGAGAGAGAGAGAGAGAGAGAGA